GCTAATTGAGGCCGCTAATTTTGATGCTGGACTCAGCATCAAAACTGATGCAGCATCAGAAAAGGAGCCGGGAGTCGGCTTCACCAGGTGAAGCCGCCTCAACGGCATATGCGCTCCCCCGGCGCACTGATCGAGGCGGCATGAAAGTCCGCGCCGGGCCTCCGCCTCGCGCGCCGATGCGGCTCCGTTTATGATGCTCCCTCAAACCTCAGCTCTAAATCCCTGTCTCTGACACATTTTGGTGAAATTCCCTGACAATTGAAGATGTGACGGATGGTTAGGAGGGCATCATTGAAAATAGTTTTCAGGCAAAATTTCTTGTTCAAAATTTCAAACCCATTCTAGAAAGCAAATGAAGGTGATTTAACAAATTTTCCCTGAAATTTCCCCGTTTTCCCTAACTTTTTAAAATTCCCAGACATTTCTCGGTTTTCCCTGACCGCAGCAACCCTGTAAAATTTTAAAATGATTTTCAAGACAACCAACCTTGACATCAAAGCTGAAGTTCTGGCCAGCCTTGATCTTAACAGTGGTCAAATTGGTCCTATCAATGTACGGTGCTGAATTCCTTGACTTGGCTGTAATGGTCGGAGTCGGGTCACTGGCTTCTCCGGGCCCAGCGGCATTGATTGCGCGAACCTGGAAGACATAGCCTTCACCCTCCTTGAGCCCTGGAACGGTGACATTGGTGATGCTTGCTGGCACAGTGGCCACTTTCTCCCACTCTCCAGTCTTGTCTTTCATCTCGACGACGTAACCTGTCACAGGCGAGCCACCGTCAGACTTTGGAGGCATCCATTTCAGATCTACGTGGTCTTTGTCCCAGTCGGTTGCCTCTAGGTTGCGTGGCTTTTCCGGCTCATCTGTATGCAGAAAATAGTCAGGTTACAGGAAGTAGAACCAAGAGGCAAGTACAAGGATGGTGTAATACATGGCATTCATGAAGGTTACATTTTCAAGGTAAAAAATAAAAATAATAAATGAAAAGCCTTCAAGAGGAGAAGGAGTTAAAAGAGAGCAAGATAACTGTATAAGACATACATCCTTACACCTCTTTCATGTAATAATGTTCCACATTTAAAAGACACAACCTTCGTGATTTAGAAGTTTTGGGAAAAGTGTTCCTGATCGTGAGATTTAAGTCTAAATACGATGATGAATAAATCATTTCCTCAGTAATCTGTAGGGTGTCCCAGGATTAAGTGCGAATATTGTCCCGTTCTAGGAGTTCAAAAGATAGAGTGAGCAATCCTAATAACTTTTATAATTTAACTTTTTTTCCTGTATCTAAAGTTGCAGTAAAGAAGAGAAGTACTCACCGAATGGATTTTTGGCAATGATTCCTTCTTTGGTTTCTAAAGGTTCGGATTCTCCCTCTGAATTTACAGCAGAGACTCTGAATTTATACTCTTTGCCTGGCATAAGCCCTGTCACAGCCATATCTGCGAAAAAAACACACAAAAATAAATACATAAAAAAATCCAGCCGTTTCTGCATAATAATACAACATAACTAATACAGTACATATCATGAATTTTGAGACCAAATACTTTTCAAGTATCATCTAAAGAATTTTTGACCACTACATTGTCATTTTACATTATAGGGTAGAGGAGATCTAAGGTAACAGCACCAGTACCCGGAATGGTACCAGTATCCGGAACGTCGCTCAGTTTTTCGTAAAAAATAAGCGGTAGGTACATCAGTGCAAAAAGGGCATCAGGTTTTCACAAATTACACTCAGAGGGCGCCACCTTGCAATAAGTGTGATGGTCGTGCGCTCCTTCCATTATCTGTACCATGCTTCTATAGTGACGTATTCACAGAACGAACCGCTATGTGAATATGTCACTATAGAAGCATGGTACAAATAATAAAAGAATGGCACGACCATCACACTTATTGCAAGGTGGCGCCCTCTGAGTGTAATTTGTGAAAACCTGATGCCCTTTTTGCACTGATGTACCTACCGCTTATTTTTTACGAAAAACTGAGCGACGTTCCGGATACTGGTGCCATTCCGGGTACTGGTGCTGTTACCTTAACTGCTTGCACATTCTTCCGACTTGCTGATCTATTAGATTTTCAAACGTAACGTAGCGTACACATTTCCAATGGCTGCGCAAAAAGTGTTTCGTCTTTATTGCTGAAATGAACTCGGTAACTATCTCATTAATAAGAAAGAAAAACACTAAAAAGATAGCTCAAATACTGCAAGTAACTGATGGTAGAATTCTGCTGGGTCCATTCTATGCTGTGGGGAAATAAAGGCCAAAAAGTTCAAAAATTAGTATTAATATTAATCTGCCTGAGCTGAAAACTCTACCCCTAAGACTTGCACTGAAACTCATGACTTCATTTCGTGACACTAATGCTACTTTTTAGATTTATTTACCTTACTTTCCCCGCATAATAATGTGGACCCAGCACTATTTGACTATCCAGTTACCTTATGAACAACTGAGAATGTTTCAAAGATTCAAATGCATTTAAGTCTCTAAAAATTGATTATGAGCAACAATTCAAAAACTTACAAGCAAATCCTGCAATCCTTCATTTTATGAATTAATATTCTCTATGCAACTGGTTATTTTTTCATTGAAATTGACACAAATACGTACTTGTCTCTGTGGCTCTTCCACAAGGTACCCAACAGTACTTCAGTGGGTCAAATTTGTCGACCAAGTAATACTCAATGGGGCTACCTCCATCATCTTGCGGCCGCTTCCATTTCAACTGACAACCTTCCTTGTGCACATCTGAAACCTGTAACATAAATCGGCTCGTAAGAAAAGTTTTAATTTTTCCTGATCACACAATGTTTCAACTTAATATTTTCCCCTCACATAATAAATAAAACATTGTAAAGTTCTTAGCTTATGAACCATCATAGCAACGTTTCAGCATTTAGCCGGTGGAAATTTGGTTGAAGTAGTCTTACAGCCACTTCAGTGTAACAGCAGCCTGATTGTTGAAAATTTAACTGGCAATGTCAGCAAGATAAGACAAGACATAGCCCTATTTGCGCCGTGTAATATATCGATTTTCGATTCTTGTCGTGCCGACATAAATTTCAACAATCGGGCTGTAGGGCCAACAACAAAAACCCTACCTGATGGTGAACACATAGTTTACAAACAAAAGACTTATCACCAACCGGCATTCTGATTACAAGAGTAAGAGAAAGACATAATAAAACTACCAAGTAATGATTTTGCAAAATCACCTTTAAACTTCCGATGCTTTTAAATAGTTTTTAAAATTATGAATAAGTTGGCTGCTTTTGAGTGATGTTCCTTTTTAATAATTTTTCCAATGAATTTTGAACAAAAATTTTCAGTTATTTAAGGTTGGGTAGAAAGTTTGGAACGCTGCAAATACAATGTGTCTTCATTTCACTATTGATGTATAGGAGAGAGGAGGTTTTGACGGAGGCTTAAACTTACTAGCAGAGGTCCTTGAGGCGGAGATGGTTTGTCCATGACGATAACGTTAATGGCAACTGAGTCCTTGCCGGACGAGTTGGTTGCAGTTATCACATACTCACCAGTATCTTCGCGGCATACTGGACGGATAACCAACTTTGTGTTATAATCAACGTTATCAATGGTCGCAGTCTTTTTGCTTCTGCAAAAAAGATAACAATACATATGATTGGCAGAAATCATTAAATTATTTATGCAGTAATCAGTAATATTTGAGAGATTATTATAACAATTTGAGAAATATGAAAATTTTTTGGTAGATTTAAGGCAGAATTAAAATTGTAAACTTTGATAGGCGCCATAATATAAGCCATGGGTCAATCAAATTCTTTATAACCACATCTTTCATGTGACAAGAACCTGGTAAAAATGTTTCTCTTGTCTTATTTTATCTATTTATTTTAGTGGCAGGAAATAATGAACATCATTTTTCTTATTCCTTTATTTTTATTATTTTCTTGTGATGTGGTGAACAGTTTGGAAATATTTCATTGTACCGGATAAATTGATCGCCTTCTAAAAGAAGGTAACATTTTGACGGTAGCAGACATTTTTCAAATAAGAGACATGAACGTTTTTCAACACTAATGTTTACATTCATTAAATTTCCACTTCCTATTCAAGAAGTCTGTGTAAAAGCGTAAGGCACAAAAGATGTTAAAAAATATTCCCAAATTAAAATTTCAGTTACCTGACAGGCATAGCGCCCACTCTCCAATCTACATGTGGAGGCGGCTCACCAGAAATGTTAACGTCAAACTTCAGTGTTGATCCAGCAGAGATACGAACATCAGCAATGTTGGAGCGGTCAATGTGAGGTGCCACTGGAAAGAGGGGTAAAATTTCAGTACCATTCGAAATCGATTGCGTTTTACAACCTTAAATTGAAGACAGAACAGGATGTCCCTTTCTGTTTCTTGGATGAAGTATTACATGAATAATGTTACAGAGATCATTTTCACTTTATAAGAGCATTATATAATACTTATGACTCCTGATTATCTGGATGTAGTGTTACCTACACTACGGATGATCCAAATTAATCTTTTCACGACATGAACATTTTTCCAAGTTAAATATTTTGGAGGAAATATACAGAGGAATGCTTTAAACATTAATTGGGTCTCATTATAAAATACATTACTTTGAAACTAAGAGCAAAACTGAAAGATAAGGATGCTTACAGTAGCGTGGTTTTGCAATGAAGTTTTTGCTTGCTTTTCCTGGTTCTCCCGGACCAGCCTTATTCACAGCAATGATACGGAACTGGTATTCTTGTCCCTCTTGTAAACCATTAACGATTCCTTGCGGCTGAGCACCGATGGTTTCAGTTGCTTTCTCCCAGACACCGCTGCAACAACATACATCACACATATTTGAAATAAACTAGTGATTGACTTGAAATTACAACTCATCTAAAGGGATTGAATAGCCTGTGTCACACTATCAAAATACTCCATCAAAATGTCAAGGCCAAGTGCTGTAATTGGTCCAAGTCATCGAATAAGCCAATCACAACACCTGACCTTGATATTTTGATGACTAGCTTTGATAGTGTGACACAGGTTAATGTACACTGGCTCCAAGTTTGTTTCCCATGGTATAAAATAATTCACATTCTGCACTTTTCAGACTCATACTTCAAATTTATTTTTTAAAAAGCATACAAATGTCTGATATTCTGTAACTGAAGTATAATACATGCCTTGCATTTTTATTCTGTTGCTACTAGCTTATTTAACTGTACAGGATGTCAAATTATCTTGAATTTCAAAATTCCTTGACTTCCGCTGATATGGTGAAGATGGTTTTTGAGAAAGAAGTTATTGTTCTTCTCATTGAATTTCAAGAAGGATGGGGTCTAAAATTCTTCTCAGAGAAAATGTTCAACATTGTATTAAGGACAAACTTCGATGTTTCACGGAAAAAATTTCTCCTCCTCCCTGAATTTACACATTAAAGTGTGCATCCATACTCTTCATAACTTTTTCTGAAACTTCAAGGACTTGTACCACCTTCACAAATATCTACAATTACAATATCATTTGGAAGCAAAAAATTCTGATAAAAGACTAGTTTCATATATATTTAATAATAAGGAACTAAAGACCTTTGAAAAGAAAGTTGTACTCAGAAATTGTTAGAACAGCAAAAATTACATTAAAGTCTACAACACGAAGAGTAGCGGCTGAGGGGCAGAGTGAATTGAGTCCCTTAATCTATTGTCTAAGGATTGATCGGCTATGATAGCCCGATCTTAACCCTTAAACAAAGCTCCAAGCCAGTCACTAGCTCTGCCTCCCAGCTACCACTTTTAGGGTCATAGACTATGGTTCAGAAGTATTTAAATAAGTAATATTGTCTCATTTTCCTCACATTCTTTAAATATCATTTCAGAAGGTACAAAGAGGTACCTACATCATAGAAAGACATAAAAACTCCTTATTTTAAAGTAAGGTCTCATTCTAAAAATAGAAAATTTGAAATTTTTTGAAAATTATGAATTTTAAACACTTGAAAAGGTTCCATACCCATATTTGTCTTTCTTTTCGATGATGTAGTGCGTCACAGGAGAGCCACCATCAGAGATAGGTTCTTTCCAAACCAAATCAGCGTGATTCTGACTCCAGTCAACGATTTCAGGGATTCCAGGGGCACCAGGAATAGCTGGAAAAATAAACCAAAGTTCTTTGAAGAAGTTGATATTGGAAGAAAAATTGATTAATTTTAAAACCTCTGAAAGTCAGATTTACATGCCTTCGCATGTCCTTGAATGCTGTAAATCGAAACGTGAAACCAAGCGGAGACAACATCAAAGCGAAAAGAGGTTGAAGATTATTTACAATTTTTAATGCTTCTAGCATGATTGGTATTCAAGTTAGGACTGGACAATCTTTTAAATAATGACTATTGCGTGAATTGTTTTTCATTCAATTCAATTTCTTATCACTTCATTTCTTTAAAAATTTGCTTTTTGGTAAAACTTCTTGGGAATAAATGCGTATTCTCTTATTCTTAATTATATTCTCATGTCTTAAAATACATTCTCCTGATCGAAAAGAGAGGAATACAAAAAAAAAGAAACAATTTTGACTCACTGAATGGATCCTTAGCGACGATCGAAGAGAAAGTCTCAAGAGGTTCAGACTCGCCCTCTTTGTTGACAGCCTTTACTCTGAAGCTGTACTCATGTCCTGGCATCAAACCAGTGACATCCATTTCTGGCTCCTTTGATGTTCCGACAGGAATCCAAACTCCATTTTCTGGATCATATTTCTCGACAATGTAGCCATCAAGCTTCTCGCCTCCATCGTCTTTCGGCTTATTCCATTTCAGTTTGCATCCATTCTTGGTGATATCAGAAACAGCGAGAGGTCCTTCTGGTTTACCTGGTTTTGAGACTACAGTCACTTCCACTTCTGCGGTATCTTGACCATACTTGTTCGTTGCAGTGATCGTGTATGTGCCGCTATCTTTACGACGCGGCTCTTTGTGCCATAACTTTGTTTTGTACGGTACATTCTCGATGACTCTGACTCCAGTGTCGACGATGGTCTTGCCGTTAAGACTCCAAACAACGTCTGGCGGGGGTTCGCCAATAATCTTAATGTCAAACACGAATGGTTCGCCTTCTTTGACAGTCAATGCTCGTAAGTTACGACGATCAATCTTCGGTGGCAACTTGCGTGGTTTTGTTACAACACCCTCGCTGGCTTTACTTGGTTCACCCGGACCTGCTTCGTTGACTGCCTTGACGCGGAATTCATATTCCACACCTTCATCCAGATCGTCCACCCTAGCTTTCGTGTCTTTGTCGCGGACTTCTGCAGCCTTGATCCATTTTGGTGTTCCCTTCTCGCGCTTCTCAACAATATAACCTGTGACTGGCGATCCTCCATCATTCAATGGTGGAGTCCATGTTAGGTCAACATGGTCTCTATCCCAGTCTGTAGCTTGAGGTTGTCCAGGCGGTCCAGGTTCATCGAATGGATTTTTGGCCACAATAGATCGCTCAGTGTCAAGGGGCTCTGACTCACCTTCTGAATTCACAGCCATGACACGGAATTTGTACTCTTGATCAGGCATGAGGTTTGTTACATCCATGAATGGCTCTTTAGACCGACCAGCAGGAATCCAAAGTCCTGTCTCGACATCTTGTTTTTCCACCAAGTAGTGGTCGATCGGACATCCACCGTCATCTTCAGGTGGATTCCATTTCAAGCTACAACCTTCTTTGTGAACGTCTGACACCTTCAAAGGTCCTTGCGGTTTACCTGGTCTGTCCAGAATTGTGATTTCGATTGTTGCCTCATCCTTGCCACTTGCATTTTGTGCTCGAATGGTATAGGTTCCGGTATGGTGTCTTGCCGCTGGAACAATGGCTATTTTCGTTCTGTAATCTTCAAAGTCGACAGACACGTTTTCTTTTGGTTCCAAACGCGCTTTGTTGTGGAACCAAATCTTCTCTGGAGGGGGCTCTCCACTGATCTTGACATCCAACTTGATGTTCTGACCAGCTTTAAGGGTTAGGTCCCTGATAGTCGTTCGGTCAATCTTTGGTGCAACGTTGCGATCCTTGCAAGTGACAGGATCACTAGGGTCACTGGGTTTACTTTGCCCACCCTTGTTCACGGCAATAACTCGGAACGTGTACTTCATACCCTCAAGAAGATCAGGGATCTTTCCTTCGCACTTGTTGCCGATAAGCTCCACGCCTTTCTGCCATTTTGAGCTGTACTGATCCTTCTTCTCGATGATATAAGATGTAATTGGTGCACCATTATCTGACTTGGGCGGAGCCCACTTGAGTAGAACGCTATTCTTGGTCCAGTCTTTAGCGAATGGTTTGCCTGGTTTGTCTGGTTCACTGTAAGGGTTCTTGGCGATGATTGCGGTGTCTGTTTCCAAAGGCTCTGATTCGCCTTCGGAGTTGACAGCCTTGACACGGAACAAGTATTCCTTACCTTCGTGAAGACCAGCAACATCTGCTTCCGGGGTCTTTGCAATTGTGACCGGGATCCAGCGGCCAGAGCCGGCAGTATCTAATCGCTCAACAATGTAATGCTCCACTGGCGCACCACCATCATCTTCTGGCGGCTCCCATTTGAGTTTGCAACCTTCGGCTGTCAAATCGGATACCTTTAATGGTCCCTTTGGTTTTGACGCTTTGCAGAGGACTACAATCTCAACGTCAACTGTATCAACACCTGAGCTGTTCTTCGCGGTGACAGTGTAAACACCACTGTCAGCCCGGACGCATTTCATTAGAGTAAATGAGGTCTTGTAGTCCTCATTTTCAATCTTCAATCGGTCAGAGGCACGGTCAATAATCTGTCCTTTGTATGCCCAAGTTACAGTTGGGGCAGGCTCACCCTCGATATCTGCTTCGAACTTGAGTAACTGACCGCTGCGGATCTGCTTCTTGTCCAGATTCTTGCGGTCAATATGTGGTTTCAAGAACCTTGGTTTGGCAATTACTGGTTTTGATACGTCACTAGGTGGGCTAGGACCTGCTTTGTTCACTGCAACCACCCGGAATTCATACTCATGACCTTCAATAACGTCTGTGACCTTTCCTACACGCTTGTGACCAGGCGTGGTGAGGGCATCCAACCACACGCGGGAATCTTTGTCGCGCATTTGGACAATGTACTTCTCGATTTCAGCTCCACCATCGTCTTCTGGGGCGTCCCATTCCAATTCGATGAAGTCCTTGTCCCAGTTCTTGGGCTCTGGACGACCAGGTTTGCTTGGTTCGTCGAATGGATTTTTGGCAATGATTGCTTTGTCGGTCTCCAATTCCTCAGATTCTCCACCCTTGCCCACAGCTTTGACACGGAACTTGTAGGGTTTCCCTTCCAAGAGGCCGGTGATGTTGGCTTCTGGCTCGGTTGACTTGCCACAAGGTATCCATTGCCCGGTCAGCGGGTCTAGCTTCTCAATTTCGTAATATTCAATAGGCATGCCACCTTCATCTTCCGGCTTCTTCCACTTGAGTTTGCAGCCGTTTTTGGTGACATCGGAGACTTGCAGAGGACCACCAGGTTTGCTCGGTTTACCTGCAGTTTAGGAAAAAAATAGTTCACGCTAGAGAGACAGGAAGATAGAGTGAAGGCCAAGAGTCAGTTTACACTTTAGAGCAGGCACCAAAAATCAATTATCAACGTGTTACCCATGAAATTTCAAATTTAAGAGAAAAAATTGTACATGCTTAAGACCAATATTGCTCCGGAACTTCTGCAATACATTTACAGTAGTGTAATGTTTCTTTACACATTCGGAAAACTTTGGAGAATCTGTTCTAAGTCTGAATGCTCATTAGACTTCTTAGTACAGTCTATTGGACAAGTACCAATATTTCAAAAATGTATCTACCTTCTAAAAGTATTAACATTTCCTTTTTAAATTAAGGAAAAATATTTGAGACAAATTGATGATCATTGAAAAGAAAATACCGCTTCGTAAAAAGTGTAAAAAAGTACTGAATTCATTATTCTTGTACCTCCTTTTTTGTTTTTTCGTCATTTCAAGTCACAAATTGTTGAAACACACTGAGAAATTGGTGGTTTCTTATATAGAATAATTCATACACAAAAGCAAAGAGGAGCAATAACCCATAGAGCAAAAGAAGGTATAAAAAATCACATGTCTTTCTTTTGAAACAGTGAAAGTAAGACGTGAGAACAAAAATATTTTGACACAACACATAAACAACTCCCAAAATTCAGATTTTCTATACACATAGATATTCTGATTACCCCACAAGTATGAGGGAGGAAAATGATAAAAACCGAGAAGTAGAAGACAGCAAAAAAAATGGCAAGATTCTCTGATGACTCACCTAAAACAGTGATATCGAGCTCCGCAACATCCTCACCAGAGGAGTTTTTGGCTGTGATGATGTATTTGCCACTGTGCTTCCTCTTGGCTTTGAGGATGAACAATTTTGTATTGTAATCGATGTTATCGATTCTCAATGAGTCGTCACTGGATACCACCTGATACAAAAAATAAAATATTATTTACAGCTGATCTTTAAGCAATTTAGTATTTTTTTAGGCGCCCTTTAAAATTGGAAATTTCTGACGAGCTGATTGAATTACTATTCAGTAAATAAATAGGAGGGAAGTTAAAGGCTTGGAAAAATCAATAATCATTATCATCTTTTTGACAAATTTCAAATTATATCATAGCAATTTTTATTACACGCCAAAAAAACAAATTTAAATTTAAGAAAGGGGTTTTTTTCTAACATCAGATGGTTTAAAAAAAATTTAATATAATACTATGTTGATAGGAATATTGATAAAATGCCAAAATTAAGCAAACTGGAAAAGAAAGAAATTACCTCATCCTTGAGCATCCAGGTAACAGTTGGAGGTGGTTCACCGGTGATATCAACATCAACCAGTGTAGTTTGGCCTTCCTTGATAACGATGTTATTCAAGTTTGTGCGGTCAATTCTTGGTTTCACTGGAAAAAAGAGGGGCAAGTTACCAATCAAACACACAACATAGTGAAAAAATTCAAGTTATCAATCTCAGAAACTATATAGCAAAGTAAATCAATTTTTCAGTCTGATTTCTGGTTGAAATATGAAGGCATTGGTAAGTTTATCCTTACAAAAACTTTCATGCAATCATCAAAAAAAGTTCGGATCATCCTTAAGTAATTGCCAATAGCAAACATTTTAGCATGTCTTGCTTCATAAAATTAATCTAATGAGATAATCTACATGGTTTTCAGTAATTTCAAAATTCTAAACTCCCTTTGTTTTTTCTGCACTTATCATATGCTCACGAAAACAAAAGAGTGACAAAAATGAACTTATTTAGTCGTTTTTACAGTTGCATTTTTGAAAAGTAGACAAAGCACTCAGCTCAGAATAATTTTCCCAGGTTTTTATGAACGATATTAACTCTCAGAAAACGAGTTTAAAGTTGTGTATTTTGAGCTCCCATTTGAATGAGCATCACCAAACAAGCCAAAATGGCATCTGAAAATGTCTTTTTTGTCACAGTCACAATCCCGATTGTGCGTTGAGTCTGCCCAAATCCATAGTGTATGTGGCCGTCATCAATGCACGGCTGCACGGACCATACATCATAGCAAAGGCAACACGTAATCAAAATTGCAAGCACAACAAGAGGGATATTTTCCAACACCATCTTAGATTTCTCAGAGATGAGCAATAGAATAAAAGTTCTAAATACGCAACTTTAAAGTTGTTTTTCGTAAGTTAATATCATTAAAAAAGATAATGAAAAATTCCTGTGAACTAAGCGCACTGTCTACTCTTCAAGATTGCGATAGCTAAAAATTACTGAACAAGCTCATTCAAGCAGCTCAAACTTGAATTTTTAGTTATCCTTTCTGTTGAGAGCCAGAGTCTTTGTTTTTGAAGTTTTTGTTTGAATTCTCGGTGTTTTTCATTGTAAACCATGCCTAATTGAATTTGTTTGTTCAATTTTTCCGGTCCTGTCTTTGACGAAGAACCGTGACTGTGAGGATACTTACAGAATCTGGCCTTGGCAGTGTGTGGCAGTGTTGGTTCACTAGCCTCACCCGGACCGGCTTTGTTGACCGCACGAACACGGAATTGGTAAACTTCTCCTTCATTCAAGCCGGTAACTTTTCCTTTGCAGTCTCCGCCGTAAACCTCAGCGACCTTCGTGAAGTTTGGAGTGTATTTTGATTTCATTTCAATAATGTAACCTAAAAAAATGATAGAAGAGGTCAATATACGCCAGAGGATAAATTGAAGCCTTCTGGCTATTCCCTGATCTTGAGAAGTATGCTAACTATCAAAATTGTAAGTCGATTTTTCTACTTTTTTTGTTTATTTCGTTTAACCAGCCCTAAATAGGTAAAATAAAAGCATTTTTACAGATTGTCTTTGTTGTTGAGAAAGTGTATAAAATATGCTAACAATTTCAATTTGTAGATTCATTAAGTAAGTTACAGAACTATTGAGATACAGGAAAAGTCACAGATTGTGGCCGTAGCAGATTATAAAGCCAGGGAACCGGCAAACTGGAAACAATCATTAGGTTGGGTTGGGCCAATCAATGGGTTAATACTGTGTAAAATATGTGTACTAAATTTTAAAATTGAACAAAAAAGCCTAATTCAGGCAGTTTTGAAGCCGTATTGATTGAATAAAATTAAAGTTTCCCCATGAATGAGAATTACCGTGAAATTTTGCTCAAATTTTTAAAATACATGGATTCATGACCAATAACTGAAACCTTGAAGTGATTGAGTCAAAGAAGTGAAGTTCGAGCACAAAACAAAGTAAGCTTCTTTAAGAGAAAATTTGGTTTTGAGATTGTTCTGTTTTGGTAGGTTGCAGTTTGAATTTCATCAGTGCAATATTTTTTCAGAAAGAATTCATTGTTAGACAAGCAAAACATATACTCGCAATTTCAGAGGAATTATATGAATGTGTTTTCTTAAAAATAAACTAATTAGGGCTAGATGCCTGATGAAGGAAGTACAACTGCAATAAAAAACTGCAGACTAACTTATTCTGCATCTAAAGAAAGCTATCAAAATAAATTACCTGTGATAGGAGCACCTCCGTCTCGTAGCGGTGGCTCCCACTTCAGCTCAGCCATATGCTCGTCCCAGTTGAAAATGTCTGGGATACCAGGAGCAGGCGGAACATCTGAATGTGAAAACAGAACAAAAATTCTTTGAGCAAAAGTTGAGAAGAAAGAGAAAAGAAAAGGGAACCCTCTGGCAAAACTGATTGTGAGATCAAATAATGAGCATTTTTTATTCAAAAGGGAACAGACTTTTTCAGCTTGGATCGAGAATAATACAAAACCTATGATCATCTGCTACTGGTTTACCTAAACGGATAGGTGCTTTCATTAAAATTTTTTTGAAATTTGTTCCCTCTCGGCTCTATCCAAAAGGTCTTGTCAATGAAGTATCCTCCCTTAAAATCGATCCTACAGACAGGCTTAGATTGCAAAAAAATTATATAAGCAAACCTCAAAAACTAACACACCATACCTTAATTGTAGCAAATACCCCCTCATGATTTTTATTCTCAAAACGAGAGTAGTTTAATATTTGCTTCTGTTAGCAGAGAACATACAGATATATTTTAATTCAGCAATAATGAACTCAGAAAATGGTGAGGTAAACTTTCATTATACTCCTGATCCTAAAACAATGATTTTTTAAGTAATGAAAATCTAGATTTACAAAAAATTGTTTTAACAAATTCATCCCTTGATGGTATCTTGATAGCACCACTTTGAACGAAAGTGGTGAGTTCATGAAAAACGCCTCAGAAAAACTTGTTTACCAAACCACATCTCTTCTGCTTTAAACTTCCGACCATCATTACTTTGGCTTTAAATAATATCGATAGGCTCTTCTTGCATCAAAATGTTACTAAAACCGTCTTTTAAAAGTTCACTCTTCAGCATCTGTATCCTAAAAGTATTCTTTTCTACAGAAACAGAATATTACTGATATACATTAAGGGACAGCGCTGTTACCGTAAGGATTTTTGGCGAGGATGGCAGTGTCGGTCTCCAGAGGGTCCGACTCTCCTTCTTCGTTGGTTGCCTTGACCCTGAAGTTGTACTTCTTGCCAGGCTCCAGGCCAGTGATTTCGTGTTCGGTTTTGTTTGGGTCGAGGAATCCGGCAGGAACCCAGCGACCGGTCTGAATATCTTGTTTCTCAACGATGTATCCAGTCAACGGGAGACCACCATCGTCTAACGGCTTTTCCCAGTTCAACTTGCATCCTTCTTTGTGCACGTTGGTAACTTCCAAAGGCCCTTGAGGTGGTCCTGGTCGATCTAAGGAACAAAAGCAGGCAAGATTTTATTCACTTTTATTAATACCGATTTCAAGAGGTGAGTGCAATATTTTTCTATGAGCACATTAAACGGTAAGATACACTTATGATAGTTATAATAATCGTTCAAAAAATTAAAAACGCTACAAGGACTTGTTCATGCATTATATGAGGCTTTAAAGATGGGGGAGGGGGAGCAGAGGGTATGATATCGTAGCATAATGGTGGTTAAAAGAACTGCAACTGTACATAACAATTTTGTGTGTGATTTCACTTAATTTTTACATATATGTATAACCCAGAAATCAAACATTTTACTGCTCTAAATTATGTTCCTCTGCTGTAATATACCACTTCCTAGCAACCTAAAATTACTTGACTATTTTAAAATGCTTTTTTTTCATCTTTAGAAAATTTTGAAGAGGAGTAGTAGTCAGAGCCAGTGCTACGAAATTTATCCAAGAAAGTCCAGTATACTGCTCTGCTAAGAGAAAACTCTGTACATATGAGCCTTCAGGTATTGTCAAATTTAACTCCATAAAATATGAATTTACTAGAGAATTTTTGAATGTTTATCCTCCAATTTTCCAGACAATTTTGTTTACACCTTAATCTAAGATATCTGAAAATTTCAAAATAAAATGTTCGATACTATTTTCCAGAATAATTTTGTCCCTGGAATTTTATGCAGAGAAAAGGTTTGGAGTCAAAACCCAAGTCCACTATCAAAATTTGAACTTAACACTAATCAAGATTACATCACCAAAATATGGATGATATTATTCCTTCTTTTTCACTCACCCAGTATGTTGACTTCTACGGTGGCTTCATCTACACCGTTGATGTTTTCTGCTCTGATAGTATAGAGCCCAGAATTTTTCCTTGAGGTATCACTCAATGCAATTTTAGTGTTGTAGTCTTCATTTTCGATCTTGCAAGTTCCAGATGGTTCCAGCACTTCGTTCCGGAAGATCCAGCGAACAACTGGAGGAGGTTCACCCTTGATGTCAACGTCAAATTTGACTGTCTGTCCGGCACGAACAGTAACCTTTTGAAGCTTCTCACGGTTGATCCAGGGTTTGCCTTTGAAGGAAAAAAATGAAATATGTTCAAATTTGAATTTCATACTAGAAAAGTTCTGGTGTTTTTTAATGTGTCCAGTGATTGCTGATTTTTCAAGTCCTGATACTTTGTTGGTTTATTGTTTAAAAAATTGATTTTTTCTTAATAACAAGTATCAACGAAATTTCCCTTGACTTTGGCTGTAATTTAATGCCTTAAGAGGTGGTGGTGAATTTTCTTGTTTCTTAGCAAAGTATGCGCGGACATGAAATTGACATATTTTTCAGATAATACACATTTTCACATGTTTTTGAATTTTTGGGGAATCTCTGAAGATTTTAAAGACAACTTTTGAACTTAATTTTATTAGAAGATTTTTAAAAAATCTTGCTGCTACAATGATTTCATGATTGTTAATTCTGATAGATTCTACCCTAAACATTACATTGAGACAAGTGATTAAAAACCTTTTTAAAAAATTTACCTTTTGAAATAGTAAAACTACTTCACGGAAACAAGAGCGAAAACAATTTCACTTACGATTTTTGGCCTTGGCGACGTGTGGTTTAGTTGCATCGCTGGGGTCTGAGGCACCAGCCTTGTTCACGGCTCTGACTCGGAATTGATAAGTATTGCCCTCTTTCAAACCTTTCACAGTAGCTGCTGTTTCTGGAGTCTAAATATAAAGATCAAAATACCGAATGTAAGAATAGCAGCTTACACAATATCTGCCGCACCCCTGACAAATTAAAGTATAATCCCAAGTAATGACAACTTCTGTCGCAGATCAGCTACTATTCTCAGAGGAGATTGCATTCAGAATGAGATGGTAGAGAAGATCATAGATGCCAAACCGACCATCTATTATGAAATTTACCAAACACTAACATTTAGTGTAACAAAAGGCCTTGCATTATCTTACTCATGCTACTGTTAGGGTTGCCACAGAATTTAGAAAATGAAATTCTCTGACATTTCCTTGATTTCCCAGACACATTTTGGTGAAATTCTCTAACGATTGAAGGAATGACAGGTGGTTAAGAAGACATATTTGAAAATTGTTTTTAGGCAAAATTTGTAGTTCAAAACCTCAAACCCATTCTAGAAAGAAAATTAAGGGGATTTAACCAATTTTCCCTGACATTTTTGTCACTTTTCCTAACATTTCCCAATTTTTCACTGACTTTCTAAAATTCCCTGACATTTCCTGGCTTCCTAGTATTCCGCAAACATTTTTATGTAACCACTATATAAAAAAATGTCATAATTTTCGTGAGCTTTTCGCAAACATACTAAAAATTCTTCTAATTCGCGAAAAGCGATTGTGACAACTTTATAATGTGTTGATCACAATCTTTTAACAATAAGTCTATAGACTCGATACTTGTCTACTTTTTGCACTTACATTTGTGGTTAAAATCTCTTCCCAACCAGCAGAGAACTTCTCCTTCTTTTCAATTATATAACCAGTTATAGGTGCTCCTCCATTGCTTTCTGGTGCTTCCCAAACGAGATCAACTCTGTCAACATCGTAATCTTGGATATCTGGCTTTCCTGGTTTACTGGCAAGATCTGAGAAAAAAGATGCGAGAAAAAATTGATCAAAAAAGGCAAAGAGTTGGAGGAAATTTCAAAAATTCATTTTGTTTTTGGATTGCTATTGTTATTTTTGATGATTGATATTTTTTGGCTAAGACTAACATTTGAAATTTTGATTAAATGTTTCACTTCTGTTTTCATACTTTGTTCCTTGAAATGATTAGGTATAGACTTTTTATTATAGGTCCAATTCACAATTGGACATATTTGTACCAAATAGAACCATAGGCAGGTGGGAAATATAGGGTGTGCTCGTTAGTTCTCAGGCCATGGACATTATAAGGTGCCAGTGATGTCAGCAGCGACGAAGCTACTGCCGCAGTCACCCGTGCGCGTCTTTAACTCATGAGCTCTGTCCACAACGCTCTTGTCCCATGCCCATGGCTCAAGAGTCAGTTGGCTACAGTTGGCAAATGGTTCCGTTTAGTGAATTTAAAATCCTGATTTTTCGATTCTTCAAAAGGAATCAAGCCCAATTTTACATTGTGTCTCATCCAGCTCACCACGAGCAAGCCTCATCTTTCCTACCCGCACATAGTCCTGTTTGGTAGAAATACGTTTGATTATTTGTTTAAAGATTAGATTAAAATTATATAAAAGTCCTAAGGAGCTCCGTAAGAAACAGTCTTATAAGAACTAAAAAATGCATTTTTTGTGGTAAGTGGCAACTAATTGTTGCTAAGACAGCTCTCTGCTGATACAAAAAAATAGTTGCTTACCATACGGATTCTTGGCGACGATAGAATGCTCCGTTTCCAATGGTTCCGACTCTCCTTCCTCATTGACTGCTTTGACACGGAAGTTATATTCATGGCCTTCCTGCAGACCTTTAACTTCCATTTCAGGCTCAGCAGAGCGCCCAACAGGGACCCAGCGGCCAGTAGCATGGTCAAGTTTTTCAACGACATATGCAGTGATTGGCTTGCCACCGTCATCCTCTGGCTTGGCCCACTTAAGTTTAGCCGAGTTGGCGGTTATGTCGGAGACTTTAAGCGGACCTTGTGGCTTTGTCGGTGCACCTGGACACGCAGTAGAAAAATTGTTTAATGACTTGTGCTTTGAATTCGCGTTTCAACTAACTACTACACGGACATTCATGGAAAAGAAAGCTTGACAAGAAAAGGCATTACTCTGTGATAGAGATGGCAATCTTAAACTGCATGTTTTGAGAAAAAAATTTTTATGATGAGAAATTACGATTAATTTTTCCGGAGTGCAGTAAAAATTTCTTTCAAAATCTGATTAAAATTTGAAAGGCGTCAGCAGTAAGGACCATTTCTGGAAGATTTTCACCTTTGAAGTTTTCAGAATTGAGGAGTTGGATATTATCTTAAGTCAATCTTTTATAAAAAATAAAATTAATTATGTATTTCAAATTAATTTTTACTGAAAACAAATTAATTTTTCGAGATTAATTTTTATTGGTTTTGCCTAAAAACTCATCATCTCTAGACCATGTATTTGTTTATTTTGTGAAATTGGACTACACTTCACAAGAAGGAACCACTATTTTTCCTTGATTTTCAAAAAAACATGTGTGTGTCATCAGTTCCTTTATTCCTTTTTGGAGATGATGCTTTTATAGATGAGCCAGAAATACTGGTTCCTTGTGGAGAAGTAAGATCTAATTTTTCGACGGATGACATTGCTTTTTACTACACATGCATACAGTACAGCCAACAATTTCGCATGATAAATTTATGAGATAGGCGAAATTTTCAAATCCGAGGAAAAAGGATACATTCCAATACTTTTTTTTTTATTTTAATTATTTATCTTCATCAGCTTTGAAAAACAGACAAAAATGAGGAACTTACTTAAAACAGTGACTTCAACATCAGCTTCATCTTTTCCTGATGCATTTTCAGCGATGATTCTGTAAAGACCAGTGTTCTTCCTCTTAGCGTCTGTGATGCTAAATTTGGTGTTGTAATCGACATTGACGATTTCAATATTACCTTCAGACTCGACCTAGGATAAGAAGAGGCAGAGTTAATGCGCTGATGACAGTTGGACAGAAGCAATTATTTTCAAACTGGAACTAGGATTTCTTCGATCTTTTGCAGAATGAAATTGAGTAGGACGACGGAAAACAATCGCATATTTTGAGAAACCTCAATTTTTCATAATGTTTCACAGAAAATTCTGAGTTCATTTCACTTTAAAAATTTAGAATATTCTCATGATTTTTATGTGAAACAAAAACTCTTCTGATTATTTTAGGGGTTGAAAAAAATCAGTCTCTGAATCATAAGAAAACAGAAATTTTTACTTTGAAAGTTTGGTTTCCAAAATTTTCAGGCAACTTGCAGATTTTCCCCGGAATTGTCTTCTGAGTAAGAGACAGTTATTAGCTGAACAATTTGTCCGAATTCTTTCAGCATGTAGACTGCGCCTCCCATGCAATTCAGCACATTAAAATGCATGAATATAACTTATCTTAAAGATAAATTATTAAATTTAGAATTAGAATTACACCCGAAAAAACTTCAATATGGCAGGTAGGTAGTTTCATTGATGTTTGAACAGTAAAACTTTATCATCTACAGAATCGTCTTTTTTTTTTTTTTAGTACTTTGACATCAAATTTTAAATTTGGACTAATATCCAATGGATCCAATTTTTTAAAAAGACCAAAATAAAACTCATGACTGATTTTAAATTCAACTTGTGATATTATGGGGAACTAAAACGCCTGGATTTGCCTTGATGACAAAATTATCGTTCAACTGAGATTTGGACTAAACTCAAGAACAATTTGTAAGTTTCATCAAAACTTTTCTAGAAAGAAAATTTCTATCACTCTTTTCAAGGATTATATCCATTTTTCATGTTCGGTTCACAAAATCCTGTTAAAAGAAAGAATGAGGTACAAAGAGAGGAATGATTTAACAAGGACCATTTGACGGGAGTTCAAGTTGTACGGGAAAGGAATCAACAAACACAAGCACAGAACACAAAACAAAAGCAAAACAACAAAACAAGAGGACAGGGAAACTACTAGGTAGGTGGATTTTGAAATCTTTGACACACAATAGGAAATTCAGCAACTTCATAAGGATCTATGAATTCTAAAAGGATTCTATAAAAATAATTGGGAATTATTTATATAAGAGATAATGATGACATTTTTTTGTCACACCATAGCTTCAAAAAAATTATCTGGCAAGAACGCTTGAAAGTGACAAGATTTGCTGAAAAAATTCTACAGAAAAATAACAAAAAAAACTAAGTTTAACTAAAAAACTAGACTAGGAAACTAATTTGTTTTGTCAAAAAAAGAAAGAAAGAGAAGCCCTTTTCCATATTTTCTGACCTCAAAACTGTTTGTTTTACATGAACTTTTTGAAGGAATGAACAGTTTTTAATGAGAGAATAAGGCAAATTAAAAAATGTTCTGAAATAATTGAAATAAACCAACTAAGGCTGGGTTGTGATTTAATTTGTTCAGATAAGATGATTTGGCCTTACATCTTAGATTTCAAATGGATTAAATTTAGCATAAAACCAATGCAATTACAATGTTGTAAAAATCGTGTGACTAAAAACGATGAAGAGACACTTTAAAAATTAACCCTTCAACAGAGACTCAGACACATCTCTTCTACCAAAGACAAAATGATAAAAAATATGACTTATTTTGATAATTTGAAGCTTTAATTATCAATTCATCACCTTTGAAATAACTGTCCTGAAAAACCATTCATTCGTTCAAAATTTTTTGTAAGATTCACTACGCAAAAAATTCAGAAATTCTCTAACTTTTTCAATGGTCAAACACAGTCTAAACCTCATCACAATATCTAGCTATGAAAGCAAGAAATTAAAATTGAAACCTTTCGTGTTGATACTTTTTACTCACTTTTCTAATAACTTGATCAGTCTGAAATAAAAAATTATTGATTATAGGAATGTTAATGTTTCGGGACGCAAGGACATATGTAAATTTTAAAACTTAGAAATGAAGGATAAACATTTTAAGCACTTTTTAGTTTGGGAGGAATTACAGAATTTACCGATGCTTGGAAACCATAACACAAACAGGATGCATTGATCTGACACTTAATTACAGAGAGGGTAATCAGTGATATTGAAGAGGGATCTTGAAGGGTCATTTAGTCTCAGTTGTTGTGAGCTTCTAGAGTAAGAATCAAATAATTTGATGGCAATGCTTTTGAGACAGTACACTGGGAAACAGACATTTTGAACAGGGGCACAGACAGAGAAGAGACAACAGATCAAAGTTTCATGCGTCAGAAAGAACCCTGGAGATGATAGGTTAATTTTTGGTCTCAAGACTGTCTTTTCATGATTAAATCTTGCAGATCAGAAAAAAATTGGTGGGGTCAATCTTAACGCCAAGTTCTTAGGATCAACATTAATAAAGATGCCTCCTTTTAAGAATTATGGTTAACAATAACATCCACTGTATTTTCCGAAGGAAAATGTTCCAGTCAATTTTGAACATGAGAAGTTGGCGTTAGTACAGACCCCGTCGTTTTGCTTTCTGCAATATTCCACCATTAACACAGGATCCTGTGATCCTCTTATTTGACCACTTTGACCAATTTTCCAGATTCAAACTTTAAAAAAAAAAAAAAATTGTAGAGGATCGAGTTCTGAATCATTGAGGATGTCAAGACTGGGGTAGAAAGAGCAGCTCAGCCAGATGTTCGTCTAAATATGTTTTTCTGAGTGAGCTTGAATAAATGAGAGACATCCTTATGAGAATGAATAGAGGTCTAGAAATTTTACTCACAATTTTGTCGGCCAAGACCCAAGTGACAGATGGAGGAGGCTCTCCTCTGATGTTGACGTCAAATTTGACAGATTTCCCAGCGCGGACAACGATATTTTTGAGGTTGGTTCTGTCAATTCTCGGTTTCACTAGACAGAGAAAAAGAAAAAGAAAGTGAAAATACAGAAATTCAGGGATAAAATCTGTAGAAAATTAGTCTTTCCACCTGATGATTATGACAGGTTGCTGAGTGGTATTTTGCATAATGCAAGCAGGGACTTTATAAAATTACATTTTCAGGGGTTTCAGTCTAGCACCCACCTGTGTTATTCAAAATGTTCCCTTTTTTATGGCTGATCTGCCATTAAAATCGAAAATTGGGGAGTGTATTTACTGCTTTTCATTAATCTTTCAAAGGCTATTGAAATTTTATTTTTCATGGCATTGGAACAGATGCACAAATTATTGCTGAGTTTGCAGGATTTTGCACTTATGAGAACAAAATATCAAACATTAAAAACAATTGGAACAAAACTGTTTTTGCAACCAAAAAAAAAATCAAATGCTGACTGAAATTTTGCAGTAACTTCAAAATAAACCATGAATGAGCTTTTCATAATGGCTAAAATGATTTTTCATTGGCTTAGAATTTTTACCCTGTTCTTTAAGGAGGTGCAGATAGTTCCAAAACTCAACCGTATATCGGAATCAGGTGCTTTTTCTTCATACCTACACAGAACAGCCTTTGACTTTTGTTTGGCTCAGGAAATCTTAGAATCGGAGAGAGTCAGTTTCTTTCCGTAATGATGATGGTTTTTTTGAAGTTTTTTACATCTCAAGCCTTCAAAACTACAAAAAACTATGTGAAACTTACGGTTCTTATGTTTGACTTTATGTGATTTGGTAGCATCGGATGGCGCAGAAGGACCAGCTTTATTAACAGCGACAACACGGAATTGGAGTTCTTGCCCCTCTGTTAGGCCAGGTACCTTTCCTTCCAGTTTGTCACCCGAGAATTCTGCAGCTGGCTCCCAGTCTGGCTTAAACCTAAATAAAAGAAGCATTTAAAAAGACTCACAATTAGGTTGTTTTAAAAGCAACTGATACTGCAGCAGCAAAGATTTATAATATTGATCCAAATAACAAAATTATTTGTGTACACACGGTTTTTATGTAGTTTCTCTGCGCATTTTTTGCTCAAATCTTTGCATTTGATGATGTATTTAATGTTTTAAATAGGAATGCACAGGACACAAGAATGAGGAGGTGAATAATGAGTCAAAAAGATATATACATACTTTAATAAAATTTTGGTACCTGAGAGGACCCAATATGTTGAAAGAAAGTTGAATTACCGGAGAAAATATCACTATTCTAAATGCTCCGTTCTATGCAGGAAGGGCACTTCACTCAACAGCATTAATTATTCATTTTTACTACAAAAATACTTTCAAATAATGACTACAACTGTTAGTATCTTTGACGAGGTTTATATTTTGATGGAAAAAACAATGGAACAAAATCTGGCTAAACATGTTGACAGGAAAATTTGTTTAACTTTTAATTACTTAAATCTCAAAACAATATATAAATATACCTTACCTGTCTTTCTTTTCAATGATGTATTTCTCGATGGGTGCGCCACCATCATTATCTGGAGGAGTCCATTTCAGTGTCACACTTTCATTATCATAGTCAGTGATTTCGGGTAGACCTGGTTTTGATGGCTCATCTGCAGCAATCACAAACAATTGTTTGTAGAATATTTTCTTCGGCGGAAATTTTTTTTTATGAATATCACTTTGTACATGGGGAATTGGCTTAAAAAGCTTCAGAACGCGAAGAGTTTATAAGGAATTGAAATGAATATATTTTCTATTGTAAATTGATTATCATTTAAGGACTTCCGTACAAAAATGTAAAAATTATGGTTTTATGGTTAGAAAAATATGAGTCATTTAGGAGTAAGAAGCCAGGTTACTGTCGCATTAATACTCTCACGGAAGATGGGTTGTTTTCTTCACTGGTCAAAAGAGACTTCCACTGACTAAAATTTCCTTAAGTAAACCCCTGTATTATGTCAATTCAGAAATCAATTAGAAGAAAAAAGTTGTTTTAAGGCTGGATTTTTTTTAGGGGTTGAAATATGAATTTCTGCTTTTTCGGCATAGGTTGTTTTCACTCTTACTGGCTCAGTTAATGACACAAATGGACCAAGTTTAAACAGAAAGATAAATGAGTTTGGTATAAACAGAAAATGCGTTTTAAGTGGTTTCAAGATCATTTTACTTTATCAAAAATTTAAAGTCAATGAAGAATATTCTCGAGATGAAAAGAGTGAGTAAGCTTTGTCTTTATCATTGAGTCTCATAGAGGAACAAAACTTCAAACCTCTTCTTTTCACCTCAAACTTGATGTGACTTGGTGCATTTTGGTTAGCCTTGCACCTAAAGTTCTTAGTTAAAACAACAAATTTTATGTTAATCTTTTTGCTTCAGCAGAATTTGTGGAAGAATGAGTAAATTTTAACCATCATACCATAAGGATTTTTGGCAACAATGGGCTTCTCAGTGACCAGCGGTTCAGAGTCTCCTTCGTCATTGACAGCAGTCACGCGGAATTTGTACTCTGAGTTAGGCTCCAGGCCGGTTACGTTCATTTCTAGTTCAGGCTTGTCTCCTCCGGGAACTTTTCCCACTCTCACCCAGCGACCGGTTGCTGTGTCCATCTTTTCGATTTCGTACTCTTTGATTGGGAGACCTCCATCGTCTTCTGGCTTCTTCCACTTCAACTTGCAGCCTGTCTTGGTCACATCGCTGACTTCCAATGGGCCTTGAGGTGAAGATGGCTTAGCTAATGAACAGAAAAATACGAGAAATAGAAAGTTTTCTGAATACTTTGCTCATTTTTCATTTTATCATCAATCTACTATTCAATTTTAAAGGCATGGAATTTTAATCTCATATGAAAAATGCTGAAACGCATGCATTCAATGAATTTGCATTCAATGCACTACTGTTCAATGAAAACAATAGAGAGTGAATGACAATTAAAATAGAGAATTTTGAGAATATTTTGCTCGTTTTATCATCAATTTATTATTCAATTTTAAAGGCATAGAATTTTTATCTCAACGCAGTGTTCAAAACAGCACTCACCAAGAACTGTCAATTCGAGCGTTGCCTCGTCTTTGCCGGAGGCATTCTCAGCTGTCAACTTGTAGATACCAGAGTCTCTCCTCGTGGCACTGATAAGAGAGAAGTTGGTTTGATATTCGGCATTCTCAAATTTGAGTCTCTCCGTATTGACTAGCTTGATGTTGTCACGGAACGTCCAGTTCATCTCTGGTGGAGGTTCACCAATGACATCAACGGTCCACTTCACTGTGCGGCCAGCTTTGATGGTGACACTCTTCATACCTGCGCGGTCGATCCTTGGTTTCACTGTGGGAGGAGAAGAAAAATGTAAATATTTTGTGGGACTCGGAAAACTGTTTGGATTTTAAAACTCCAGACAAACTTTCATAGAAAACTTTTCAACACCTGGTTCCTTCACAAATTCATGAATGAAAATTTTTTATGTGATTTATACCAACAATTTTGTTTGGTACAATTTTCTCCAAAAAAGATATTGAAATTTAAGAAAGATACCGGAACTTCTAGTTTGATCATTTACAGAGAGAAAATGTTTCTTCGTTCCTTCTGTGCTGACAAAAAATTAAGATAAAGAAATAAGTCTTTTAATCCAACTGTGGATCTCACAAATTTTGAAAATCTTAAGGGTTGATTATTAAAACTTCATCCTTCTACTTATTCAAAACTTAGATGCCTGTAACATTTTTTAAAGATTTTTGCAGTTGAAAAATTGTTTGAATTTGAAAAAACCTTGAGTAAAATTAGGTAAGGATAATTCTGATTTTAAAAATATGTAATGGAAAAATCCTGTAAAAAAGGCCTGATGGTGCATTTATGAAAGTAAATTATACTAAAACTTACGGTTCTTGTGTTTGCAAAGATGATTATCAGTCGGTTCACTGGCCTCTCCGGGTCCAGCTTTGTTTACAGCCTTGACCCGGAATTGGTAGACCATTTTCTCCTTGAGACCTCCAACTTTAGCCTCAGGTGTTGGTGACTCTGTCGTGTGACACTGAATCCAGTCCATGGAGAACTTGTCTTTCATCTCAACGATGTAATGTGTGATCGGCCGACCTCCGTCGGTTGAAGGAGGCTCCCACTTAAGAGTTACACTTTGATTGTCATAGTCGATAATCTCTGGTCGGGGTGGTTTGCCGGGTTCATCTGTGATTGGAAGTAAAGTATTAGACACATTTTTTTGCAAGACTCAATTCATATATTTGCACTTTACTTCAAAAGGAAACTTAAAATAAAAATTTCATGATGGTACATAAAATATGGTTTCAAAGAAGTCAAATCTAAGAAAAAGTCTCCATATTTTGTACTTTCAAGTTACAAACGCTTAGCTTTATAAAAAAGCAGCTCCGAGTTTTACCCTGCTGTAATCAGTCATTTCCAAATGCGCCTCTATGTACTCAATTTTTACAACACTTGTTCCTCTCTACTTCTCTGCTTGTGCTTAAGAATATTACATACTGAGTATTTCACTTTTTAATATTGAATTTTCGAAGTTTGCAAGGCTGGCAAAAGAGAGGAGACTTTTCCCCCTCAACTAAAGCAACAGGTAGCTGCGGTTATGTAATCGGGCGAGATCATCAAATAACTTAACCTAACAATGGAAACGGGCTCGTTCCAAACTCCTCCCAACAATATGACCTCCTTCCTTTCCTTTCTTGTTGCCGTTCTGAACGGTTTTCCCTGGACTAAATCAATACATAAGGCCATGCATGCCTGGCCTGCCCCCTCCCTTCTTGAAAAGGGGAAACCCTAATTTAGGGAAGTTTCTTACCATATGGGTTCTTGGCCAAAATGGCTTCTTCGGTTTCCAAAGGTTCGGATTCGCCTTCTTTGTTGACCGCCTTGACACGTACTTTGTATTTCTTCTTGGGTTGTAAGTTTTCAAGGGTAAATTCTGTCTTATCTGGACCAGTCTAAAAAAAAAAGAAAAAGAAAAAAATTAAATATATTATCTACAAAAAAGTATCGATTAGACTCAACTATTTTTCTTTTTTTCTTTAAAACAGGCACAAAAACTGTTAAGTTTTAAAGGAAAAATCATGAGGATTTTTATCGAAACTGGTGAACCATTTTCTTCCGCTGATCGGTTTCAATAGATGTTTGTGCAGAAGGATTGATTCAAACTGATCTGATTTGTTGATTTTTGCTTCTTTTGAAAAGAAGGATATTTGAGTTCAGACCGGTCCTCTGCGTTAAAAAAAAAAGTTGCATTGAAGTCAACAACCATGATGACGATCTATCAAAATTTTGAAAAATTCTTAGGAGACTCTTAAAAGAGATATTAGAGTGTTTGTGTCGATCAACTTTTAAAGAAAACTTAAATTCTTTTATTGAGGAAGTATCATCTTACATACTGGTTGATTGAAGTTTTTTTTTTTTTTTTTTTGCTGGAATCCTCTTCTATGAGAAACTTTGAACCAAAAAACAACGAGCTAACATATTAATTAAATTTAGAGACTATTTAGTGGTCATAACTCTAGGCGTCCAATCACAATGGTTCAGCTATAAATCAGAAAGTACCTCTCCGGCAGTGACCCATCGTCCACTGTCCACATCCATTTTTTCCACAACGTAGCCTGTGATCTCGGAGCCTCCGTTGTCCTTGGGCTTTTTCCAGACAACCTTCAACCGGTTGGCTCTTACTTCGTCGGCCTTCAATGGTCCCATTGGGCTACTTGGTTTGTCTGAAAATTAACAAAAAAAGGAGGTTTAGTTTAGAATTCATTGGAAGAAGTATAAAACGTATCGGATTGATAATTGCAGACGGACAGCAAGTAGAGCGGAAAAAAAACATTTCAACTATGAGTTTGGGAGCCCTAAAGCTTGTTTGAGACAAAAATCAAACCTTGTTTACCTTCAAACTCACCACGAACGCCACCTGTTGCAAACACTTACTAGTTATGGGATGTTAATTTTAACTGATCACGAATTGATTTTTGTCTCAACCACTAAATAAGAACCACCAGAGGGGCAACAATTTTCCATCTTTCCTACGGTTCTTGAAATCCCTGCGGCCCCGATTCCAAGTCATGTCCGCTTTCACTCTAAGGCTCTTGCTTCATCTGCTGTTTCAAAATTCGCAAGGAGACGGTTCCAAGTTTGCTTAAAAAAAATTACAAGATCTTGGACTACAGAGTTACTGAAACGGAGCACTGATAAATAATTGTACATTAGAGAAAATAAAGCTTGTGAGGGTTAAACTTACCGAGAACAATAACTTCAGCTTTCTTGTCCGTAGTTCCAGAGCTATTGGTCAGTACAAGCTTGTACATTCCACTGTCAGACCGCACAGATCTTCGCACAGTTAGAACAGTGTTCTTCTCATATTTGTCGATAGTGATCCTGCAAAGTTGAGAGGAGACTAAGATAAAAAATGGTAGCTTTGCTTACTAAAAGTAAAAATTTGAGTATCACAATAACAGCAGCGTATTGCTTGGAAGAAAATATACTAGCATATTGCCACAATATTGCTATGCTAAAATATCCTTTAATGAAGATAAATCAGTTACATTACAGTTACATATACATTTCAGTTACATTTACAACATTTAGACTAAATATAAAACTTGATCAATATGACTGTTCAAGATTCAGAGCTGGCTGCCTGTAGCATTTTTTTTCCTTCTTGCTATGAACCGACAACTGACTTCTGACTTTTACTGATTATTTAATTACTTATTTATTTATTTTTTTGGTCTTACAACATACAACGTACCTATCATCATCCGCAACGATTTCAGTATCGCCGTTGAACCATTTGACTTCTGGTTCAGGTTCCCCACCATATTTGATGTCGTACTTGATGGTCTGTCCCTTCTTGACAACAATATTTTGCAGATCGTCTCCGATGATCCAAGGTTTGACTGAAACATGCAGAAAATCATGATAAAAAAGGGACATTAAAATTAATGAAAATTACAAAATTATGATCAAAGAGAAAGACAGATACGAAGTTACTTGCAAGTTAGTTACTTGAAAGAAGGTAAAAAATATCGGAGGAAGTAATAACTCGGGCCTTAGGACTTGAGAGCAGTAACTTCTCAACAAAAGCAATGATTCAAAAAATTAAAAAATGCAAATCATTGTATCATAGCTGCCTTATAAGCGCTTCAATTTTTAAGCTAAGAATGGACCACTTCACTTTGAGTAACACGTCTCTTACCCTCCTGAACAGTACTTGGTTCGTTACACCACAGTGCTCAATAATTTTAAGAATATTTTTAATAAAAAATACTTTCAGAAGATTTTCTTTTAAAACTTTCTACTCACTATTCTGACTCAATTTGTTATTGGTACGATTTGGCCATAGATCTAGCCATCATCCAGGACGCGACTCTTGGTCTTAGACTTTTGAGTCACGTCCCTCATAATGACCAAATATCGTCGCTCCTCTGACATAAGGGTGTATGTATCTCTGTTTCCACATGAGCCCTGGAAAGCATAGAGTTACACTGCAAACAGGGGTCACACGGAAATGGATATGTTGTATGTGTGAGGAATTTGCGATCTGACCGTTGATTCTTACGTAAAAGTTCGCAAGAAACACGATGGTGCCACTGGTTTTCTCTGAAATCATTCCCCAAGCTCAAAAAAAGCTCTCAACTTGAGGCCAAAATGGAGGGCATATCCCACGCTATCCTGAGAGTCCACCTCTACATCAAGACAAACTGTCCATGCATAGATAGGGAGCAAATACATTGACAGGGCTGCCACTTTATTTAGGGACTCTAAAACTGAAAACACAGCAACCCTGCTAATGTATTTGCTCCCTATCTTTGCATGGACAGTTTGTTGTGATGTAGAGGTGGACTCTCAGGATAGCAAGGGATATCCCCTCCCTTTTGGCCTCAACTTGAGAGTTGTTTTGAGCTCGGGAGTTGATTTCAGAGAAAACCAGTGGCACCATCGTGTTTCTCGCAAACTTTAACATAGTAATCACACGTCAAATCGAAAATTCCTCACACATGCAACATTTCCATTGAGATACGCCTTTACGACAGAAGAGCGAAGATACATGGCCGGAAAACCTTGGTAAAAAATACGATCAGACCAGTGAATAAAATTTTTTAAAGGTGGTTTCTTTAAAGTATTTTTAAAATTGTTGATCAAACTCTAGCCCGGTGCTTTCAACATTTTTCCATTTATCGTAACTAAAAGGCTGTATGTTTAATCATAAGCAACCAAGTTCGGAGAGTAAGGTTTTATTCTTGGTATGAAACTCACCGAATCTTGATTTTGCAACGATCGGGTTGGTAGGCTCACTGGGTTCACCCTTGCCTGCCTTGTTGACAGCGCGGACTCTGAACTCGTACTGGGTTCCTTCCTTGAGATTATCGATTGTGCCTGAGGTTATATCGCCCTCTAGTTCTTTGCCTTTTATCCATTCTTTTCCGAACTTTTCCTAAAAAGCAAAGTGAAGATGAGAACATAGAGCATACAGCAGGAACTCGAGTAACTGAAAACATCGGATTTTTCGACTCCCTAAATTCTTTGCAGGTTCTTGTCATTTTCTCCTCACAATTCACCGCATTTTGATTGACTAGACGTGTTGATTCACCCAATTTTTTGAAGTCTCGTTCTCGTGGTAGGATTTCAAACACAGTGATACTGCTGCGAAAAAACTCAGCTTACAGATTTACCAGATTGCTTGATTTACAGGATTTTTGGTGGTTCTCAAGAAGTCTAGTAATTGTCTGGGCTCCATTCTTTCAGCAGAACTTTTTTTTGCAGACAGCTGAGATATAACCTATGTTATTCGATCATTGATTGATGGCTCAAAGTATTGATGAAAGGATCTTGCTTGATTTAAAAGGAGCTGAACTACAGTTCCGGATATTATTGAAATTATTTTCGGTTATGTAGACCTACCTGGTGAACATTGGGAGCTGATAGATCGACATCGAGGCCCAGTAAAATAAAAATAGCATTGATAGAAAGTTTCTCAACTATGAGAGGAGTCCATATGAATTAATCATAGTTTAGAACGTAAAAATGCTGATTCTTTCTTGGCTGAGAAGCCTGATTGCTGAATTGGATATTTTAAATTTTATAAAGACTATCTTCCAAGAAAGTCAGCTCCTGACCAGGAGAAAAATCTAATGATCATTCCTTTGGCTGTGCTAAACAGTGGCGTGGCAAGAATGATCGATTATCGATATTTCTCCATTTGAAGCTGTAGTAAAGAATCAATTATCAAGGTGTTCCCTGCGAACACCTTGATAATCGATCCTTTTCCATAGATTTAAATGACAGATCAATCAATACATCGCAAAGCATGTCACGCCACTGGTGCTGAAATTAGGATACTTGTGAATCTCAACAAAATTTTTACTTGAAAAACTGTCCTTACTTTGTATTCTATGATATAGCCAGTGATCGGAGCGCCTCCGTCAGATTCTGGTTTGGTCCATTTGAGATCAGCGTGATCGACATCCCAGTCCACACATTCCACATCTCTAGGCTTCGAGGGTTCATCTAAAAGAATAAAAGTAAATAATTAGAAAATATGAAGATTGAAGGAGACAAATGGTATCGAAATTTTTTGGAAAAATATTAGGCGTGTACAATGTGAAATTATTCGATCTTGGAAGTGTAAAATCCTTAAAAAATCTTGATTCTGAAAATGTTTGTTCATAGTAAATTTTTCGGTTGCAAAAAACCTTGGCAGGAAAATCAAGAGTGCAAGAGATCATTTGCTTATAGGTATTCATGGGCTATCTGCTATCACCACTGAACATTTTCCGAGAATATTTAGAATATATTTATATTATATCCATTTGTCAGTCTGTTTCCTTTTTTTGTTCCTCAAGCTGGGGACTGCGGCTTAAAATTTGAAAACAACTCACCCCAAGGATCCTTGGCAAAGACGTCCTTAGCAAAGACTCCAGGCTCTGATGACCCAATCTTGTTGACAGCCCTGATGCGGAACTTGTAGACCTTTTTACCAGTGAGATCGTTGATGGCGAACTCTGTGATGTCCGGCGTGACTTCTCCACAGTTGTACCATGAGCCTTTAACACTGAGATCCAGGCGCTCAACAACATAATTAATGATTGGCGCGCCTCCATCGTCAGCGGGTGCCTTCCATTTAACTTTGCATGAGGTTTGCATAACATCGTACACGTCAATGTCTTGAGGTGGTGATGGTACGTCTGCATTAGAAAATAGATTTTCTCATTACTGATTAGTTTATTTATACATCTTAAAAACATGAGTGTACACTGATTAACAAAAATTAGGGATAGTCGAAATAAAATGGCCATCAGAAAAGAAAGGACACAGTAAACAGAGAATGAATATGAATGAATAAGAAGGACTAGAAACTTATTGAAAGGTCCCAAAAAAAAGGTGATTACAGAGAGAAAAATTAACTGTAGCAGTAGGATGAGAATACTTTCTTTACGCTCTACTCATACCGATGAGTATAATAATTGAGAAAAAAAATGAATTTAACCCATTTGCATACAAGCATTTTTTTGCTGATGATGCCTAGTAGTACAAGTAACCAGAAGGGCAACAGAATAATCTTGAATAAGTTTTAGAAAAATATCCACAATACCAAGCAATTGGACAAACATGACCAAAACAATTGTCCACCAACTGCGCAAGTTACTTCATCTACATACACTTGCTCTGAGTTGGCAATGGCAAGTACATACTACATATGTCTGCAAGTAATCGCCTAGCAACCACGCAAGTTGACTTATCCATGTAACAGTTGTCCCAAAACATTACTGACGTGTATACTTGTCTCTGTTTGCAAATGGGTTAATGTTACAGATTTGAATGATCCAAATTTTTAAATAAAAGTAAACTAAAAAATAAGTGGGAATTTAATCTTCTCAGTATGAGAATATTTTCTCAAAGCCATCTTCTATTCTTTTGGGTGAAAGATATGTGCTGATGATAGCGCATTTAAACCTGAAATTCTAATTTATCTTTTTCAACTTTTCAATATTTACATCTGACTAATCACTTTAAAAGTTTAAATTTTATACCTTGCATATTGATGGTGACATCCTGGATGGCATCACCCTGTTCGTTGGAGATCCTGAGCTGGTACCGTCCAGACTGATCGTGTGACGGTTTCTTAACTGTAAATGTAACTTTATCCTCGCCCACAACAACGTCGACTTCTTTCAATGGCAAAACCTTTCCATCCTTCACCAACTTTGCCTCTACCTGCGACGTCCTGGTTCCTTCCACTATTGAAAAGAAACCATACACATATGAAATGAATACTCATTAATCTTCAATTAGAAAAAAAAATTAAACTTTTGAAAAACTAGAGGAAGAACTTATTTTGAGAAGCAGTATTCCTTGACTAATTTTAACTCTGAAATTTTGAATGCATTTTGCTCCAAATATCACTGATGGCATCCATACAGGACTATTTTTCGTTTCGACTGCTGCATGTGGTTTAGCAATTTTTGTCCCAAAATTTGATCCAGCTTATGTGATGCGTTATGATCTATTTTCTTTTTTTAATTTTTGAGTGGATTGAAGTACACCCTCTGCCTTATCTGACAATTTTTTCCTCCTCAATCAAGCTAAGAGAAAAGGAAAGAAAAGAAAAAAAGGAGAAAAAACTATTCATACTGCATTAGGGTATCAAACATCATCAAAATAATTTTCCTCCTCATGAAATAGTCCAGTCTTTGAGAATACAAAGTCTTCGGAGGGACCAAAAATACGTTCTTCAAATTTTCTGCTTGATAATTTTGGGATCTTATGATAGATGTGAACAATTTTTTCCGACATTGATAACATATCGCTTCTGACAGACTCCTTGATCCTTCATAGAAAGTTCAGTATTATTCATACTATAGAATAGAAGGAACACAAACAAAAAATGGTTACCTGTATAAGGAACTTCAAATCTAATAGGCGCAGTGCAGGGTGCTTCAACAGAATCACCGAAGTTGATGACAGGCTTTTCTTCACCTTTCTTCACTTCAATCTTGCACGACGATGTCAGTTCTCCAGACTTGCAAGATATTTCTCCTGCATTTTCAAGACCAATTTTGTTGAAAATAAGCTGATGTTTGCCTCCACCCAGATTCTTGATCTCAATTCTGCAAAGCACAGATACATGGTTCATTAAAAAACATATTAAATATTTTTATCTTTTTCGGAAAATTTGCGCCGCGCAAAAAGAGATTTAAAAAATACCTTGTACAAAATTTCAATTGAAAAATAATAAACTTAGAATGGAAATTATTTCGATGATGAAAAAATTTCCAGATATTGCAGCCATGTAAATAAAGCCAATTCTGACAATTGCGCCATTTATATAATTGAAATTTTAGCTTCAAGAATATTACGGGGCAAATGGACTAATGTGCAAATTTTGAAATACATTAAAAGCTATACCCCAAGAATAACTTGAAATTTGATCCGCAAAACCATGTTTTATCATCTCATTTCATGCACATCTTTTAAGTTGAAGGGATTGATATTTTCGGCCATAATCATCACTGATAAGGCCACATTAAGCCTCTCTCTAACCTTTCTCTTTCAAACTTTCCAAATATTACTGTGTGCATCCATAAACTATGGAAGTTGAAAACATCAGCATTTAGAAGATAAAATTTAGATTTATAAGCTAACAACTTCCTCATTTTTTACTTGTTCAAAACTTCTTAAAATTTGCTAAAATTGCTTGTTCATCAGGTTTCAAGCAACCATTCCCAATGAGAGAGAGGAGCAGATTTGCTAAGGATTAGTGTATAATCACGATACTTACAGGTCAGAGGATTCTATAGGTTCTCCATTGAAGAACCATTCTGCAGGAGCAGTTTGATCTTGCAATTCAACATCAAGAACAAGTTTCTGCCGCTCGACAGCCACTGAATCCTTAAGTTTCTTATTGAATCGGTTTTGGTCTGTAAAAAAGGGTACACTTATGAGTAAAAAACTTTCATCAAGCACTAACTTTAAGTTAGTGGGTTCTTGTAAATAACTGAGGAAAAACAAATGCCACTCAGCAATCAATATTCTTGTTCACAATCTTTCTACAAGATGCGGAGTGGCTGTCAAAATTTCGTTTTATCATTCCCTGATTTTTTCCTGACTTCTTCCAAAGCAATTCCCTGATTTTTTACGATAACATGAGGGCACTTAATTAATATGATCAAAACGTTGGCACATCAATGAGATCAGCTGGCCCATTGTGGCCCTGACTTTTACATGGAACCTGGCTCCACAAAAAATTCCCAGACCATTGACAAAATTCCCTGACTTTTCCCGGGTGAGTTGCATTCTCTGACTTTTCCAGGTTTTCCTGATGGCTAACAACCCAGAAGAAAATTTCTAAACTTTTTTTCATGCTGGTGTGAGTCACAATTTTCCCCCTTTTTTTAAGATCAGAGGGTCACTTTGTGAGTTTATATATTGTTTCATTCCATGCATATCATTTTGTAGCTTTCCAGTCAGGGAGGAGGAAATGATTTCAATTCAAACAAGGAAATTTCCCGCAGTAGAAAGATTTTAAGCAAAACTGTGATTGCTAAGTGATGTAAAAATTTGATGAAATCAACAACTAAGAACAGTCAAATTTGGATTTCTGAACATTATCCTGGTTTCCATCATCCTAAAATTTGCCTCTCATTTGACCTATCACACTCCTTCCTACAGCTGAAGTTAACTTCCCACCCAACAAGCACATAAGTAAGGCGTGTATAATTCATAGAAGGATATTTTGCTTACACTGAATGATAATTTCTGCTTCAGTCTTATCAGCATTACTGGTGCAAGTGTAAACACCAGCATCGGTGACTTTGGCATCCTTGATGATGACTTTACGTTTCCTACCCTCTTTGATGATTTGGACCCTGAAAAAGAGAAGGAGTCATAGAGTATAGGATTGAATCAACCATACTAGATCATAAAATGGGTAACTTTGGATTAAAATATGGGCATATTTATGCTAAAAGGAACTATGTGCATAGGGTTTGCATGTAACATGGTTCCTTTAAGCATAAATATGTCCATACAGTCTACCTAATAAGAAGAGGGTGGTTTGTTCTTTGATAATGAAGGTGATAATTTTCAAAACTTCCAGGTGTCTCATTTTACGTCAATTTCTGGGATGGCCCTCTGAAGTTAATGATTAAATAAAAATTGTCGAGGGAAAATTGGCCTCAACTTCCTGCAAAAGTTTTCCTAAAAGCAGTAATTAAAGAATAGACTCAAAGTCTTAAAATGGTGTCTGTCGTCTCAAACAGTAAAATAGTATCCATCGAAGATCAAATTATACGAGTGGTATCAATCATTACTACTATACGGTTGAACAAATTAAAAAGAGAAAACGATAACAGCAACTCTAGAGGAAATGTCATGAGAATCATGGAATTGGTAATAGCAGCAAATATGAGAATTTAGGGTGAAAAATCTGATACAACTTGCTTACAGAAAATTAAATTCAGGTTTCACAATTAAACAGATAACAGAAATTAATTTTAAAATGGGAAAAGAGTATTTGGATACCTGATGATAAATACTAAAAGAACCATAGTATTACCTTTTGTCTGGTTTGATCTCCTCTCCATTCTTGGTCCATGTAACTTCACCAGCGGCGTCGTCAAGCTCACAATGCAAGGTGATTGTATCTTTTTCCGTTAATTGTTGATGCTTCAAGACTTTCACAAACTTGTATGGATATTCTGGAGGAAAATAAGCAGAATTGGAGAAGACAATATTAAATTGCAAACGCTCAAAAAAAGGAGTAGAGTAGTCATTGTTCGTAAACAAGCTGAGAGTCATTTTCATAGAGTCGTAATAAAAGGCGCCTTTTATACAGCCCCTTTCTGTAGAAAAGCCCTGTATGGTTTACATTGCGATTAGGAGAAGTTTATAGAAGCCTTAAAAATATCATCAAAAAAAGGATGATTTTTGCAAACTTCCGGCAAAATTCAGCTGTAAAGCGTTGGTAATGGATCTTTGCAGAGGATTACAATGCTACGCCATTGCATTGTCAAAAAAAATACCAGAGAAAATAAATTGCAGGTTTTGCAAATTTTAGAGTGGGTAGTTCTGCATTTTATTTTTTGTACAATAATTAAACTATTTTCAGAACTATAATATAACAATAAACGGAATACTCACCAACGACTTTCAGAGTTGTGGTTGTTTTATCAGTTTGTTTTTCGATCTTACAGGTATATTCTCCACTGTCCTCCAGTGTTCCACATTTAATTGTCAGCCGGCAGACACCAGTCATGTCTTTTGATGTACTGTACTGGTCTCCATCCTAAAAGATAACACATTTCCACATTATCCAGATATACGGAATTTTTGAAATTCAAATGCAAAAAGCATCAGTTACAACATCACTAATCTAGAGACTGGTTCAAATTGTATCTCAGTTGCAAAATTTTCACTCTCATTTCATTCTATTATAAGAGAGCAAATCGACAGTGTTGCTCGAAATTATATGACAATATTTTTCTCACAATGAGGTAAAAATGAAAAATCGAGGAAGTTTTTAAGAAATGACTTTAAATATTTTTCCGTTTAGAAAATTGACTATACTAGGAAGTTTACGGCGTCGCAAACTGAGATTCGCGATTTTGCTGTTTTACCGTCGATTTGCATCTATGGAAGCAGATTTTACTGACGACTTTTGTAATATTATACTAAATAGATGAAAATTCATATGGATGATCATTCATACCGAAAGTTTAGTGCTGCCCTTGTACCATCCAACAATGGCCATGCTGTTGCTGACGGTACATTCCAGTATGATTTCGTGGTTTGTGAATCCATCGGACTTCTTCGGCAGCGGTTTGATGAAAGTGTATGTTGGTGCTGGCTCTGGAGACAAAAAAACATTGATGAGAGAAATGGAATATACCGTAAACATTAGTTCACAACCCAGGTGATTAAACCTACAAAATCCTTCATTTGATGGAAAGCATTCTAGAGATAATATGAATGTGCGCAGAAATAGGACCGATGTGAATCAATACAAAACTTTCAAGAGAAAGATTTTCAGAGTCAGGTGGGAATTCAAAATTTGAGATTTTAGATAGAAATCTCTCTAGCATTCAAAGAAGGCAATTGCAATAAGTGTAGTTCTATTTTAGGCTGACAGAGAGTGTGAATATGTATTAATATTATAGCGTTAATTTTGAGCTGCTTAGTAAAATCTTTGAAGAACCTTCCTTCAAATTTTTTTTTTTTTTTAATTATTACCTTTGGATCACTATTTTCCTAGTTTGGTTTGACATTTTCAAGCATTTTGCACCAACTTGGGGTAAAATATTTGAAAAAAGTTCCTCTCATCACTGGTACTTATCTCAATTTTGAGTTTTTTTTTGTGTTTGAGCTCTTTTTCTCATGGACAGTCACATATTAAGGGCAAAATTTTCAGGGTACTGGAAGATTTATAAAATTGTCCTCAATTTCACCTGTATTCATGTCACATATAAATGAGGTTTTTCTGAAGGAGAGTAGGAGAAGTTTCTGACATTCAGGTACTAACTACACCAAACATTTGGAGATTTAAAATTAGGGTGATAATATAATACAGATTCAGAGACATGAACTTTACTTTTCCAATGAATTATTATTTTCCGATTAAGTCTAGTCCCTCTTACCTTCAACGTTCAAGAAAGCGGTTGAGGAGATACCACCAATTTCTATCGTGTATTTGCCAGTATCCTCCACTTTAGGATTGTTAATGATAAGAGTGTAAGAATCATTTTCATTTTTGAACTTGTATTTCTGGCCGACGAATAATTCCTAGAGATAAAAATACGCAATATTAAATCTTAGTAATTATTGGTTAATAAACAAAATGTCAGATGCTAGACTGCTCAGATTGTTGAATGAATGCTAGATTTTAATTCAAGTATTCAGATCGCCTCTTAATTTTGAAAATTCAAGTAAACACCTTGAAAATTTCATACAACTGATGCTTCATCAACGTTAGGAAAGTATTATGAAAAAAAATTGAGTTTACGTTATTTTGAAAAATTTAGTTTTTCCAAAATAGTCACTCACAAGCTTGCAGAATCTCCATGGATTGACAAATTCATCTGACTCCTTAAAAAACTAACTCGCTTTCTGACAGTTTTCTGGGTCAAATCTCATTAGCTTACAAAATCTCTGAGGTAAAAATTTGTACTTTCAGAGAGAGAAAGAAAAAAAAATTCATGCTGACAGGAGACTTCAAACATAAAACTCCCAAATAGTTTATTTCAATCGAAGAAAAATTATTTTTTCATAGCAGCAAATTTTCATCAAAAATAAGACTCAGAAAATTTGTTGAACTACGAGTATAAACGAAAACAGTGTACATAAATTACTTACATCTTTTCTAAAGAACCATTTTGGTTTGCTGTTCGGCTTAGAAAAGACAGCCTCAAAGACAACTTTCTTATCTTTGCCTTCCTTTGCATATTGGTCGACCAGGGGCTTCAAGAAAGAATCTTGTTTCTGTTAAAATTTAAGTAAAATGAATTAGAATAACTAAGATAATAAAGAGCCTGTCGAATGAAATGTCGTGGATGGGGTAAAATTGATACGCTGCAACAATGATGCACAGTAATTATACTTGAAAAACACTGTTGAGAGATGTGGTACATGAAACATGCTTCAAAAAAAATAATGGACTGAACAAAATCTTTTGGTGATTCTTACTTTGAAAAAAAAAAAAAAATAAATTGTGTTAAAACTGTACAATGGCAAAGTTTTTCTTGAACAGAGCAAATTTTTCTACCAGCTCAAAATTTTCAGGTGGATAAAATAAAGCGAAATACTTAGGTAGGAAAGGTCAATTGTATATTATTGCGGAAAAGGTAAGAATTTTTTATTTTATTAGAGTAATTTATTGGAAAAAAACTACGAAGATTTGAAAATGCTTGTTGATGTAAAAATATCGGCAATAATGAAATATATAGCAGATATATAATAAGATATATAATATATATACACTTCCATAAATAGAGATGAAACAGTCAAAATGAGAAAACTTCCATTTCAGTGATTGAGAAGGTATCCTGGGGCAACCAGAAACACACACTATCAGAAAAAAAGGAAGAAGATAAAAAAAACCCATGGAAAAAAAAAAAAATTACAAAGATGTCCTCTTCATATGTCCAAAATTCAAAAGTCAAAAAATAACTTCTCGCTTACAGAATTTACGTCAACTTCAATTTCATCTACAAAAGACAAAAAAATAGACGAGAAAAACAATTCCGACCTGAAGAACTGCAACGAAAAAGAGAAAAATTCTCAAAACTGTCAAAACCGACCGGGATATATGATTTAATAAATCATTTCCACCAGGATGGTAACCAATAAAAATAAAATGAGCATGTTCAGCAACAATCTTGCCGATTTAATAAAACCTTTTCAAGGAATCAAGAAAAATTACTGAAAAAAAAAACCTAAAAACAAAATGAATCACGCCTTACTACACAGAGAATGGATTTTTTGCACACAATAGATACAACCAATTGAGAAGATATTTCAAGAGTATAAATACTCCAGAATCACATTGCGCACACAATAAAAGTCTGTGATTTACTCCTTATTGAACAGTTTGCATAGTTTTAATCGCACGTTTTCAAGTTTTCTAGGTCCGCAGGCACTTTTTATGGTCACTTGCAAACAGGTTTGCTGAGGAAGGGAAATAAGAAAACCTATTCTAAATAAACAAACAATCTTGCAAAACCTGAATAAATATTTTTATTTTATGAATCCAATAGTTTCAAAGCATTTATATCCTTTCTCTCTGGAGCAGAAGGTAAAAATATAAAATCTACTTAAAAACGATTGAGAGTACACATGAGAAAGATTTATTACAGTTTGCAAGAATGTCTGTTTATATAGGATAGGCAGTAAACCAACAGAAGAAGAGAAGAGTAGGATAGGTTTTCTTGCATCTTTCTCAGCAAATCTGGCTTTCGTTAACACAGCAAGCGCACCAGCAACTGCAGAAAAACTTGACTATATTAAACAGACCATACAAATTATGTGTAAGAGTATTAAAGACATTTCTGATGTGCTAAAAAGGACTTGTGTGAAATTTTATATGTAGCAAGTCTACTCAGTTCGGAGCATCTCTAGTGAGCAAAAGATCCATTCAAAACTTTGGTTTTGGGCGACGATAGATAGTCCTTGAAAAACCTACCCGCAAAATAATACAATGAAAAATTTCAAGACTGAGGAGACCAAATACACTGTCGATGGATTCTCAAAAGGTTTACTTCAAAGTGTTTTAAGATGTAACAACAAAATGATTTCAATAGCTACGACAACAACCAGTCATAGAAGTACTGCTAAACAACAAAAAACGGATAGTTGAGCAGAAAGGAGATCGGTCAAAAAGTGCACATGAAGAGGAAAATAGGAACACTGAGGAGTAACGGTAAAACAATTAAAGAATAAATGACAATCCACTGGTTGAAGAAGAAAATGTCTAGGTCTAATATAAGAGAGGGCGGACTCAGGATTCAGACATTTTAGACATGATCTAGAAGAATGAAGGAACAAAAGGTGAAAATTTGATAGGAGGAAAGTCAAAAGATGCCAAAGAGATTTGAGAACATGTAAATGCGGTAGGATCATAGAGATAGAAGAAGACGAAGAACTGAATTTTGGAAACCACAGCTCAACTTTTTCAGCAGAGAAGAGAAAATGGACTGGTAAAAAAAGCCTACGTAAAGTAAACCACATCATTATTTCAATACAGGTATGTCAATTGCTAAAAACGAAAAATGCAAGTTTAAACATCTATTATTGCATTTCATTTTCTCAAAAGAGGGCTAGCCAAAATATTCCGTTAAACTTTTCTGTGCATATGTTTGAGTAAGTAAAAAAAATGCACAAAAAAATTCAAGAAAAACTGTTATGTGGTTTTATTTTAAAAAATAAAACATAAACAGAGATTTGCAATGTTGCAATCAGAGATTTTCACTTTTTGACTTCAGCCATTAATATTAAACTTACTTAAATTATAGTTTTTGACTTTGTATTTGATTAATTGCTCGGTGGGTGTGCTTGAAGAATTTAAGGTTACAAAATTTGATGCGATTCACAAGAAACCAGTTCGATCAAAATTAGGCATCAAAATGAATTTCTGTTGCTTTGATATTATTAATTACCATTATCATTCAGTAGATGAAGAAAAAAGGAGGATTTCACAGATTTTTTCTCGTCATAAATTTATCATCAAAACAAAATATGTATACTTGGCTCAGTTGATTTTCCAACATTTTGTGATGCACATAATTTTCCTAACAAAAATTTGACCCAAAACCGAAAAAAAAAGCTAAAAGGTAAACGCTGTCTACCAGCCCATTTCACAGCAACAAATAGAGTATACGTTTCATAATTTCTGACAATAAAGAGAAATAAGTTGAAGAGGTGAAACCTCTTTGGTCCAAAAAGTTGCTACAAACATCCACATTGCATACGAGAGAACATTCGACGATTCAAACCTTAAATTTGGGAGCCTGATGGAGCACTGGCCAACCAGGGATTACATCAGCTAGAGATAATTTCCGATAAAACTTTAACAGAGGCTATAAAAATCATGAGAACTATAAGAACAATAAAGATGATGTCCAAGTTAATCTTCAAGAAAAAAAAAATATTCCTCAGTAGTGGACACAAAATTCCTGGTATCAAAATGAACTCTCCAGACATCTAGAGATGAGAACAGTCTCTTTTTCAGTAGGTTGCTGGGGAAATTGTTCAGGAATGGCTGCATGTGCTAGGCACTAAGAAAGTGAACTTATCTAGGTGAGACTTTTTGACGAAGGACATACCTACAAAAGCAATTAAATGTGTAGACATGAAGTTCTTTAAATCCTCTGATTTATGTCTGTAAATGGCTCCTACTGAATGATGTACATGAGTAGAAAGAGGATGGATGTTTTGGTCGAGAAACAGGGTCAATTAAGAAATTTGCCAAAACCGTTGCAGAGCACGATTTGACTCACGTAGAGTATTGAGATTCTTATGACTGTGCAATTCAAGTTTCTTCTGATCAATGTAAAATAAAAATGTTAAAATCGTAATTAGGTGTTAAATTCAGTAATTTTTTATGCAAGAATCATGTTTAATACAAATTTCTGGTTAAGTAACAGGTATCAGAATGCTTAAATTCGTGCCTTGTCTGGTGGTCAATTGAATGAATAATGAGCCTAAAGTTGGATTTCAACTTGACACTCAGAAACTAAATGTGTGCCAGACATTTCCAAATGAGTAATTTTCTGAAGCTCTGAGCCTTATTTGATCAAAGCGGTGAATGATACATACTTTTTCCACTTTTTTGAGGGCAGGAACTGGTTTTTCAGTTTCTTTAAGATCACCCCAGTCTGGATCCTCCTTTTCTTTGCCCCATTTGGCATATTTCCTCTTCTTCAACATGGCACGGAAGTCCATACCACTTGAATCTGAACAAAATAAAAATTAGAAACTATAGTGATTTTTATTCTGGCAATCGTTCTGTACCCTTTTTCCTCTCTCTCATTCCCCCTTTTCCCCCTCCCCACATTCTCTTCCTTTCTCTCTCTCTTCATCTTTCTTGTTTCGCTTCTAAAGGTGCTTGTAAAAAAATTCTGTGCGGTTTGTTATTTTAAGTATTTCTATTATAAATAAATACTCATAAAAATAAAAGAAAGAAAGAAAGGAAAAAGTTCTGGCAATGACAGACTTGCTCATTAACACGCAGAATTTTACAGAAAATATGAAGTAATGTTGATGAAAAGCAAACTTGAGCCAAGATGAATTATTAACCTGTAGTTCGTTGACTGACTATACACCGAGTACTCTACAAAACTGTTTAGGTACCTTTAATCTTTACATTATTTTGCCATAATTTGAATATCTTAATTCTGCTGAAAGTTTTGGCAAATTGCCAGGAGCACCTTAGTATGTCGCTTGCCACAGAGGCTGTAATGACAAGCATTTACGAGTTCTGCAGACACTACACCAGTCATTTTGACTGGAATGTGGTTGCTCATGTGACTATCTTCCGCTCCTGTGAGGCAACGGTTGTTGGAGCCATGTGTATGCTGACTCACAACTGGTATGACCTCAGCAAAATAGTGTTTCACTGAATTTTTGCTCCTGTTTGTATATTATTTTGTTTTTTTTGGAAGGGGGAGGGGGAGGGACGCTGTTGTGCTGAGGGAAATATGTGCCCAAAACACTTCAGCAGGCAACAGGTTAGAATCTCTGATTTGCATCAGAAACAACAGCCTCGTTGCAGATGTTTTTGGGAAGAAGAGAAATCGAAGAGACATGGTAGACATACCTGAGACGTAGAGTTGCATTTCAGCTGAGTCTTCGCCGTGGATGTTGCTGACAACGATTTTGTACTTGCCTTCATCGTTGGGCTTTACCTTGCGCATACACAATGTAATTGAATTGGTTTCGCCATCTGTTAGGAACTTGAACCGACCACCTTCAATGATCTCCGTCATACCCTGTAAAATTACGATTGCCAATATTGAATTATAGAAATTATTGTCATTGCGTCCGCTATCTTAAAATCTACTAAAAAATTCAAGGTGATTGTTATTTATTAATAAGAATGTGAGTGTATGCTGCCTGAGATGCCACTTTGACTTTTGGATGAAAGATAAAATTAGAAGAACTCACATCTCAATTGCAGTACTTTAAATTTTCTCTCTGATTTTACAATTGAAAGAGAAAAGTAAAAAGTCTTATGGGATGAAATTTTTGGAGAAAATTTGTACATGCTTAGAGAGAAATTAGGAGAAATTTTACTAATTTAATATGATTGGTTCTCCAGCATTAATGTAGAATTTTGCAACGCTTCCAACAAAAAGGCATTCTAGCTTCACCATCGATATACCTTCAGACTGCCAAAATCCTTAAGCAGAGCTTCAATTATTTCCTCATTTCCAAATTTTCTGACTTCTTGTGCTTTCCTCTGAGCCCAAAATTATCAACGTCCCTGCCTCCCTCTCAACAAGATGCCCACCAAAAAAACTCTATTTTAAAAAATGTGTTGACTATGGCTAAATTTTGGAGGATAATTTCCACTTCAAGAGATTCAAACTATGAAAAAAGGCACTCATGAGTAATTTCTGCTCCCTCAAATGACACTGGCTGAAGTCGCCAAGTCAACGCACTAATTGCAAAATCTTTTATGATTCCCCACAATTTCCTTGACTTTTTTTTGTTTTACAGAGTGCCAGTGATCCTGTTAGATTGCAAAATTACCCTGAAAATTCCTAAAATTAAGTTCTCCCTTCTGGAGCATGGATTAATTTTGAAAAATTTCAAAACGACAACTCGAGATTATAACTCATCTATGGTTGCTTTCATGACTATTCACCAGCAAAAAGCTGAGGATTGATCACCGAAGAAAAATAAGTCCTTCATCTATGATGAGAAGATAAAAATAAGGTTGATAAAAAAAACTAGGGTACCTTATAGAATTTAAAGGTGGGGGCTGGATTTCCTTCAACCTGCACCGTAATGTAGCCAGTTTGATCTGAAAATTCAAAAAGAGGCATATTGTATTTCAGTTTTCAATTGTTTTTTTAACTTCAAAGAAGATAAAATTGTCAAACAAAAAACTCAAACTATTAAACAGCAACAGAATACTAAGCGGTTATTGATTATGAAGTTTCAAATTTTTTTCGTCTCTCTTGATCACTTAATTTATCTCTTAATTGGACCGCGTTTAACAGAAAGGAACCAAGCCACACCAACATGCAAAATTTAATTGGGTAATTTAATTTTATACATGAAAGCGGTTGTGCGGATTTATGGGTAAATTTCAGTGAATTTTCTCCACAGTACGAAGCAAATACCTTAAAATTTTCAAAGGAATCCGTACGAACGTTCTCACGTAAAAAATTAAATTGCCCAGATAAATTTTGGAATGGCTGATGTGGCTTGGTTCCTTTCTGTTAAGCACGGTCCAGTTATGAGATTGCCATCTTAAAATCTTGCCTTAGGCACTAGGTTACTATCAGAGATATTTTTAGGATCTCTCTTTTTCAGCTCAATTCACTCAATCCTTTACTTTTCTTACTTCGAACATGGCGCCTAGTATTTATTATTCATTTTTCGTTCATTTCTCGTTCAAAAATTGAATTTGTATTGTGTTTGTTCTAAAAATATTGCAGGAAAATCTGATGTTATGGGTAAAAAAACGAACCTTCAACGGCTGAGTAGCTTTCTTGGACATCTACGATTGCAGGTGGCCCTGGAGGTCCAATATCCTTCAAGGGCGTGGACGGTTTGTCGATCTTCTCCTCCAGCTCGGCGATACTTGGCCTCCTCATGTCTGTGCTGGGTCTTCGTCGCTAAAGGAACCACAATGAAAACTGTTAAAGAGAATTCATTGGAAAAGAAAAGAGCTTAAGAGACTAGATGTAGAGATTATGATTGCAAAGAAAAAGGTATTTTAAATTACATTGGAAAAAAGAAAATTAAGAATTTATACTTTTAACTTTAGGTAATGTTTAATCTTTCTGATTGATAAAAAAAAAAATGGAGAAAATTTTCTTGCTATAGAAATATTCAATGGCAATCGCATTTTTTATCCTTTTCAGAAAACAAAAGGACCAAAGTGCATTAATTCTATTTGATTTATTTCTTTTCTCGCTCCAATATCTATACTGAGATGGTAGCGCAATGTAATGAGTGATAATAAAAGTAATTAAGAATTCAAACATCAGAAAAATGCACAATATTATTTGAATTTTAGGAAAAATCTTAAAAATAAGTTTTATAGACCCTAAAATAATAAACTAAAGAAATAAAAGAATTTGGAGTCCTTAAATTGTTGAAGTACAAAAAAAAGGGAACGAAAAAAAAAAATTAATTTCAAATTTATCCTCTCTTCTTCAATCTCTACAGATAGATAAAATAAACTGGAAGAAGAGACTCCATTTTTGACTGGATAGTTCTTGGTAATCGACTAAAATAGGCCTCAAGGATTTAATGACTTCATTTGAACTATTGTTATGTACAGAAAAGATAAGCTCGATGCATAATACCAAACTAAAAGTTGATATGTAAGCAAAAAAATTACATTTTTCGATTAAAAGGTAGCATTAGAGAATGAAATAGATTCAACTGTTGGCAAGAAAAACCATCTCCTTTGAGACTATTATTCTATTTCTTTACGTTTGATCAAAGCTTCTCAGATTTCAGACTTTATAAAAAAGAAAGAAAGAAAAAAATCACAAGATGTCTCATGCTTTTTCCTGCTAGGAGTGGTTTCATGTGAGCAGGCCCGCCACATCCCATCTCGGGCCCTGGTACCAATTTTTTGGCCCGGGCCCCTAGGACAGGGGGGGGGGGGG